TAAAGTGGGTCTGATGCACGTTGGGCGGAGCTACTCTATCCTCTCTTTGCCTGGAACAATGGCAGCTATATTTGCTGTGATCAGTGGGTAAAAATTTGTTTTAATATGTTTTTAAGTGAGAAAGTCCACCGTTCTTTCAGACTACGATCCTGACTTCAAATATCATTTCACTTTCCGACCCGCTCAGACCCCCGTACAGCAGCGGTGCTCTGTCACTGGGAATCCCCTTCAATGGCAGCCTGTAGCCAAGTCGCCTCTTCGTGGTTTTCCACTGCTGTTGGTGGCGACTGGAAGGTTTTTTTCATGTTCGTAATCCAAACTGCAGGCAGCAGGATAATAAAAGCCAACATATTACTACATTTATAGTTAATTTAGGCGTTAATAAACTGTTTCAGAGGAGTGATCATAGCGCTCTGCATCAGCAGTGCTGCGTCTGACTCCCTGCCAGCTCCCAGATCAGCTTCTCTCATTGGTTGATGCATCTAGCAGCTGCTGCTTCTGAAGCACAGACCCTTTTAGCTTTATTCAGAATCTGCACTGCCCCACATATCTCTATCTTCATACTTTTGAACTTGTGCTGATATATTGCATTGAATGTGAAGAAATAGAAATATTTCCTCACAACTCTGTCCTCTCTGAGCACTTTAGTAGCCTTCAAGCTTACTTTAAAATCTCCTCCAAAAAGGTTTTACTTTTGCAGACCCTTATCAGATAATGCAGAAATACATTTTAAAGAATCTGCTCCTTTTTTTATCTCTTCTGTATAACAGAACATTGCTGCAGCGGGTAACCATTTCATTCATCTCTTTTTAAAGATGAATGTTATTGTTGAAAGTATGTCGCCTTACCTGCTGCTTTAGACACCAGGAAAAAGGAGGCATTTCTTCATAGGAAGATAATTTAGATACGTTAAAACATAATGTCAGTGGAGAAGAAATGTACACATCTAGGAATCTGTCTGTTTCTGTCTCATTGAAGTCGTCAATCTTTGCAGAAGGTTGCTGACACTGTGACTGATCCTGGTTCTGCTGAAGTTTCTTCCTGTTTAAAAGGGAGTTTTTCCTTTCTATGCATAAAGAAGGAGCAAATCCTGCAAAGTCAATGACTGGAAACAATATTAACCGATCCATCAGGATAATCTGATTAAATTCTCTGTAAAACGCCTTCAGATGACATGTGCTGTGAATTGCTGCTACATAAATAACCTGAAATGGATTTTATATATTCATCCATCCATAAATCCATCCTTCATTCATCCATTCATATGTCAATAGTGCGACTGCAGCCAGTAGCTTTCAGTCGTTATAGTTTTACCAGAAGCTTTTCTCCATTTTTTACATCATTGATTTGATTCTACACTGTAAAACAAACTAAATCAACTCATTTCCATTTCCTGCTGCTTTATATCAGTCGCCTTTCTTAGAACATCGGAATAAAAACTAAATGTCAGCAGGACACTTGCACATCAAAGCTTAGTTCAAACTTATAAACTTTAGGCGTTCCCTGAACCTACTGTGAATTTCTTTTAGTTTTTCTTAAATATCAACTCTGATCAATTTAGTTTTCTAAATTTAGAAAGTGAAGGAACAAAGAGAGGAAAAGGCAACCAGAGCCCCACAGCTGGACTCAGAAACATCCCAACCTGGCAACAATGCAGGTAAGACAGGAAATGTTAGCCTCTAGATGCAAAACCCCATCATGCACCACAACATAGTTTTGCAAAATATTCTAACATAAAATCGCCAAATTTAAGAGGAACATCGTAGTTTGGTTTAAAGAAAGCATTTTAGTTTTATTATAATTTAGTTTGCTGCAAGGATTTTACGGTTTGAAGAAATAGAAAATTACACCATATTCCGACCGCCACCAGGATGAGCATGAAGGAAGGGCTATACACTCACCGGCCACTTTATTAGGTACCCCATGCTAGTAACGGGTTGGACCCTCTTTTGCCTTCAGAACTGCCTCAATTCTTGGTGGCATAGATTCAACAAGGTGCTGGAAGCATTCCTCAGGGAGTTTGGTCCATATTGACATGATGGCATCACACAGTTGCCGCAGATTTGTCGGCTGCACATCCATGATGCGAATCTCCCGTTCCACCACATCCCAAAGATGCTCTATTGGATTGAGATCTGGTGACTGTGGAGGCCATTTGAGTACAGTGAACTCATTGTCATGTTCAAGAAACCAGTCTGAGATGATTCCAGCTTTATGACATGGCGCATTATCCTGCTGAAAGTAGCCATCAGAAGTTGGGTACATTGTGGTCATAAAGGGATGGACATGGTCAGCAACAATACTCAGGTAGGCTGTGGCGTTGCAACGATGCTCAATTGGTACCAAGGGGCCCAAAGAGTGCCAAGAAAATATTCCCCACACCATGACACCACCACCACCAGCCTGAACCGTTGATACAAGGCAGGATGGATCCATGCTTTCATGTTGTAGACGCCAAATTCTGACCCTACCATCCGAATGTCGCAGCAGAAATCGAGACTCATCAGACCAGGCAACGTTTTTCCAATCTTCTATTGTCCAATTTCCATGAGCTTGTGCAAATTGTAGCCTCAGTTTCCTGTTCTTAGCTGAAAGGAGTGGCACCCGGTGTGGTCTTCTGCTGCTGTAGCCCATCTGCCTCAAAGTTCCACGTACTGTGCGTTCAGAGATGCTCTTCTGCCCACCTTGGTTGTAACGGGTGGTTATTTGAGTCACTGTTGCCCTTCTATCAGCTCCAACCAGTCTGGCCATTCTCCTCTGACCTCTGGCATCAACAAGGCATTTCCGCCCACAGAACTGCCGCTCACTGGATGTTTTTTCTTTTTCGGACCATTCTCTGTAAACCCTAGAGATGGTTGTGCGTGAAAATCCCAGTAGATCAGCAGTTTCTGAAATACTCAGACCAGCCCTTCTAGCACCAACAATCATGCCACGTTCAAAGTCACTCAGATCACCTTTCTTCCCCATACTGATGCTCGCTTTGAACTGCAGGAGATTGTCTTGACCATGTCTACATGCCTAAATGCACTGAGTTGCCGCCATGTGATTGGCTGCTTAGAAATTAAGTGTTAACGAGCAGTTGGACAGGTGTACCTAATAAAGTGGCCGGTGAGTGTATATACTGCATGCATCATTTAGGGAGTTAACATTGGATTACTGCTTCAGCTCCTTCAGTTATTTATTGTCACAGTAGGAGCTTCAGCCGGAGAGGAAGTGTTGGAGCCGCTGTGATTGAAGGAGGGCCGACCCTCGACGCTGAGATTAGGACCGACCCACCGGGTAAATGCCGCTATCACAGATCACCTGGATGGACTCACCTTAGAGCATCACTACTTTGCAAAAGCTCAGAAAAAGAAAGAAATGTGCTACAGAGGAGAAAGTGGACTTATTTCTATTATTGTGTGATTAAGATATTTTTTCTTTGTTTGGTGAATCTTTGTTTGTCCTCAGCTGCACCACATCAGGCTCTATTGGTGACCAGAATGAAGCTGTTGGTTTTTAGCAGAGAATCCCTGAACTTCCGAACTCCGCCTCCAGCTTCTGTGATTTGATCCGACCGTAAACAGCTTCAGAGGTTTCACATCAAGCCGATTGAAACTGCAAGTTGTCTGGATTTACTGGAGCGTTCAGTGAAACCGAAGGTCTGAAGGAAAGTTTATTTAAGGAGTCATAAAGTGTAAACGGCTCCTTTCTGGGCCGATGTGTGACCCATTTCCAGCGGCTCATTATCATTTCTGACAGGATTACTTAATGAACTCTGGTTATATTTTATGACTTGATGTGTTTGTTTTTTATTGGTGTGGTTCAGCAGAATTAATAATGTCTCTTATCATTCTCGGCAGATCCATAAAACTTCACAGCGGCTGGTATTATTCCAGGAACCCTGATGATCTCTGCCGTTCCTCGCGGCGTGGATGAAAACACGGCGGCGTGGACCAAGGCTGCTGTCAGCTCTCCGGCTGAGGCAGTGCCAAGATCTCGTTCTGTGAATGAAACCGTGACGGCTGTCAGAGGGGATCTCCTCTATTCTTAGTTCTGCTGTCTAAATATTTACCCAGCAGCCTTTGTTCCCCTGCAGCGAACCGAGGAGCAGCAGAACCTCTGCTGTAAACTGTCTGCCTCCAGCTGATCTGTGATCTGCTGCTGCAGGACGTCTGCACACTGTCGCCTGCCAGCCAGGGCCCAGTCTGATGCATCAGGTCCACAGCCTGGACCGTGGACTGAGCCTCTATTCAGACTTAGAGCAGAACCAGGATCTAGATTTTAGAAGGACTCCATCCACTTCCGGTCCTCAGAGTGGCATCCATCTGGTTCTAATACAGAAAGTCTATCCCACTCTCTGCATGCAGGGATGGAAGTAAACCGTAATAAGAAACCTGGTTCTGGTCTGGTTCTGGGTCCACATCAGCTTTCACTGGTTCCATTTGAATAAACATACTGAGCTGCAGACGAAGTTCTGCTTTGATTGGTTATGACTTCAGCAGAGCAGAAACTAAACTATTTGTTTGGTTCTCCTCGATTAATCAACAATTATTTCCTGATTATTTCCTGATTATTTCCTGATTGGACCGGAACCTTTCCAGAGCAAACCCGCTTTTCAACCATAAGCTGCTACCGACAGGCGCTAGCCCCTCGCTTTACGCTGATGAAGGAACGGTAGAAGATGGATGGACTGAATCAGAGGAGAAGTTGCTGCATAGCAGATTTTCTTCACAATCAGAACCTGGTGAAGCTGAAACTTCTAGCTGAGAAGTTCTGGATGGAGCTCAAATGCAAACGAAAAAGGTTTTTCCATCTTAAATGCAAAAGTGTTTTTATGTTTTGTGAAATTCTGGATTCGTTTCTGCTTTGATTTGTTCTTTCAGCAAATGACCTCTTTTAGATGCCGGAGCTTAAAAATGATCAGATTACTGAATGAGTTCATTGATCAATCAGCTGATTGATCGTTTCATCTCTGACCAGGAGCAAGGCGGCTGAATAGAAGAGGAGGAAAAGTTCACCTTTCTCTTGGAGAGCTCAGACCTCTTGGACATGTTCTTCATCTTTTTGTGGAGGTGCCATAGAACCTGCGGGAATAAAGCCCAGACATGCGATCAGTTATCATCTGATCCAGAAACCTGCTCAGAACATCTGAAGGTCACTGATTTCCATCACATCCTTTAACCCACAGATAAATGCATAACGATTTGACTTCATTCACCATAAACTGGTTTTAAATCATATGGAAGAACAGTTTGTAACCATGGTGACAGTTAGGAGCAGCAGACTAGACCCGTCTTTGCTCCATTGAGTCATGGATTCTCTGATGGATGGTCTGCAGACCATCTGCTCACCTTCTGATGAGACTCCACCTGATACATCCTGCTGATGGACTTTCTACATGAGCCGGTTTCTTATAGGAAAAATAATCCAACTGTTCAGGCACAATATTATGACCACCAGCAGGGGCAGCCTGAATGACTTCTTAGCCTAAATGAATCAAACTGATCTGATCTGTAACCTGATTCATTTCTATGAGAATTAATGCAACTGTGTTGGACCATGTGGACCAGCCTTCATTCTGCAGATGCATCAATATCCCAGTTAACCAGCAGGCTTTGACAAATGGAGTCCAACACATCCTGGGTGCGGTTCTTTATTCCTCCTCTTGCATCACAGATTGGCTCTTCTGTTAAACCTTTAGATGATTCACTTTACCCGATTCTAACACCTGGGTCACAATTATCCTGCGGAGTGCCGCTAGGTCCAGTTCTTGGTCCACCTCTCTAGAACAGAGGTCACAGATTAGCGGGCCGCGGTCCGGATCCAGACCCACCGGCTGGCTAATCCGGATTCAATCTGATTAAAAATATTTATTTAATAATTACTGCATGTTGTCCGATGACAGTGTCTAATTTCACTTGCCCCTCTTCTCCAG